CAAATTATAGATGGATTCGAGAATCCCTTCAAATCACTTTATCGCGAAATAATCATTAGAAGCGTTTGCAATACAAAGCGATCGTATCGAAAACTTTTGCCTTCGACATTCATCAATCACCTAGGCAAAAAAAAAATGTGGAAATCTTTTAAAAACTATGACGCAGATTTCTGGCGCTACTCTGGTGCCGGGGCTATCTCTTACTTGCTTTCTAACACGTTCTCTTAGCTAAGAAAAACAGAAGTAAGACAAAAACGAAGCCTTTGCGTGACTGTGTTGGCCGGTTGACCGTCCTATTCGGAAGAAGGAAAAATCACAAGGCGGAAATAGCTTCCGCCAAGATTGCCTTTTGACAACCTCACCATATCCCAAAACCGTCGCTCATCATGTCAACTTATTACTATAATTCAAATCTTACATTATCCTAATCTAACACTTTCCCCTCTGAGACAAAGGACATGTAAGGTCAAAACGGCGCATGACGTTGACCCCTCGCAAAAAAAAACAAAAATTCGTAATGAATGCATTTAATTGAGTTTTATTACTTAAGCTTAAAAATGTTATTGTATACGGCGGCGTATCTGACCAGCTATTCAGGGGACGCCTCCCGTATGTATGAATACTGTAATGATTTGCGAGGATTATAGGTAAAGGAAGAAGAAGCAGTGTTTGTAGACGAAATTTTGTCTTTTGTGCTCTTATATTGCGTGTAGGCGGCGAATGGACGATGCAGGCCAGACAGGCATTTACTACAGCGAAGGTCATAAGCCAAAGGTCATTAAGTACATTCACATTAAGAAGAGAAGTAGCGTGGGCATAATAGCTGTAAACCTAACAAAATCCTTATTGAGGAAGCATTCTCTGTGTAATCGATCTAGCACTGTTCTTTTTTTTACTTTAGATCTTTTAAGTGACCACTTAGAAATGTTAGAGATGTGTTTCCAAGATTCACAAGAGAATGCTGGTACCTACATACTACAATAGGCTTGACGCGGCCAAACAAAGACTGAAGACCCTAGCTAACTATGCCCCATAAAATCGAAAATTAGGTTTACATGGAATCTGAAGAAATGACGATAAATTGAGCTGTGATGGTTAAATCAATATTCGACTTATCTTCTTCTTTTTTCTTCTATTTGGTCAGCCATCCAGGCAAAGGATGAAAACTGAACTGGATTACAAGGATAAAAAACTGAACTGGAAATGTTTGGACAGGCGGGTAGGAAGATTGTTCCACGGGTGGGAAGCAAAAAATCATTGAAAACTGAATAACGTTTGTCTGGTACGGTGTTAAGAGGGAGAGTGTTTGCCTGCAGAGTGGCAAACTTTGGTTTAAAAAAAGTCACGAGCGCCCACCCGTCTATGATTGCATTTTGACAGCATCAAATTCTAAATCGATTTAAGCGTGTCTGTTTGTCCGTCTATGCAATGCATCTAAGCATGTCCGTCTATTCTTCAAGATCAGGAACATATATAGAAAAAAATCAGCCTTTCACTACAAATTAAAGAGCACGGAAATTTAGTTTTTTTACTTCTTGTCTTTTTTAGGATGACGGTGATGGGTATAAAAGATTCAGTCACCACCGAATATAAGTTTCTTACAAGTTTACGTTTATCACGTTAGCATTGCGATAAGTAGCCTGCTTTCTATAACATATTAATGATCAGTGTATGTGTTATTGTTTGCCTCTCATATATTATATTCATAGCTTATAAACTGATGTTTGAAGAGCGTTGACATCTAGGGTGTCGTATATATTACAAAATATGTCGTGTATATTACAATATTGGCCGTATTAACGTTATTTACTTCTGAAGGTTGATATGTGTGTATGGGTACAAAGGGAATAAATTCGTAGTGTTGCCATGGCTCAATATTTTTTAGATAATAATTTTTGAAATGTTTTAATAGCTTTGTACTTTTTGCACTTAAAAGTAATCATTTGTATATAGAAATCAACTCAGACAGTCGGTAGGCGGTATAACCACTACAGTTTTTAAGAGTCTAGCTTCGTGGAGTTTAAAGCATTTATGACGAACTTTTCTGGCTAACCTAGTGCTGATGAACTAGCCATGGTCCTTCTTCACTTAATTCATTTTATATCCATAATGTTTCCAGATAGAAGTTTATTATATGCATTGTATATTATATATATACATATACGTAAATGTGTTATATCAACGTGTAAGGTATAAGTATTAGCAGATTCGCCTTAAGCCAAAGTTTATTAATTTCACGTTGACAAGATAGTGTTGAAGTTTTTATTTTTTCAATTTTTACCATCATATTCATACATATATACATATATACATATAATATTCATACATATATACATATATACATATAAATATATTATTAAATACAAACGCAAACACATTTACGTCGAGGGAATATTCTGTTGGTGGTGGTGCTGCTGCTGCTAAGACATGAGAGAGCCATGTTGAGTGAACACCAATTTGTGGTTGATTTAATCAAATATTCTTTACCTGTTAAAGAATATATATAAAGTAACATATTTATATACATATAGATAGAGTTCCGCACACAAATAGAGAGACATATACAGATGCTTTTCTGTAAAGTTTACAAACTATTCACTCTCGCAGACTGCAAGGTCAATTACACAGATTTCATTTAAGTACTTGTACTTACGCAACAACAAATTGAATAAAAAGTCTTGACATAATATAATTTGTAGGTACATTTTGTACATTGGTAAATACATCCTTAGTTAAAGCAACATAGGTTAATTTGCATGCTTTTTATTCATGTTCTTTCGGTTAGCTTCAGGTGAAATGTATTAACTTTTTGCGTAAACTTTTAAAAGCGAATAATTTTTTTCCTGATTTTTTTTTCATTTGCTGCTTGCTATACAAATACAAATGAACTGTTTATTAGGACCATTTCCATATTACGTAGATACCCTTGATATATTGGATCTATAATTCGTGACATAAGGTTAAAATAGACATCTTGATAAAATTTGTCTTCTTGTTCGACTAAGGCTAGACTCTTCTTTGTGTTTTGTAGAGTAAACCTAGAGGATTTCGCGGTATGTCAAATTAAAAAGTTTGCTTTAAATAGGCGTTCACTACATTTCATTTTTTATGAAGGTTTTGTTTTATGAAGGTCTCGAATCATATGAGAGTGAGTCCACGTTGTGGAAGTGCCTTGTTATACGGGGATGTTTCGAATTTTCGAACCATGTCCGAGCGAATCTATGTTATAGAAGTGGCGTGTTATACGGGAATTACCTGCACATATTTGCGTCATGACAGTGAAAGTCTCCATAGATCGCTTAAGGTTAAATAGGTTCGTATCAAATTACTCATGAAAATAATGTGATATATTTAACATGTTAGGTTTGTTTTTGGAGAAAGGGAGGAAATTGAAAAATCGTTTCTCTTCATTACTGCGGCAATGTTATAGTATTGCCAATATTATCGCTGTACGCCATATTTTTCCTTGTAATGTTTTCATTATAGGGTCGTATATACAAGAATATGATTTTATGTCAATTGCAAAGTAAATACATAAAAAGGAAGGATAGTAGTGTAAGAAAAAATGCAAACAAGGTGTACTCTCTGTACAAATATGCCTACAGTTGTAGAAAAAACTTTAGGTATTTCCAATTGCAGGCGTTCTCAGTTGAACATGGTTAGGTTATACATAGGTGTAACTAAGCACGTGTATAGCTTTTTTGTTATGTAAGGATCCCTTACCCCACTGGACCAACGCTTAATAAAACCAAGCATTGACCTTAGTTAAGGAACGCTCTATATGGCATGGGTGACCTCTATGTTGTCGTATAAGATAACCTCGGATCGAAACTATATAAAATGTCATTAAACAGTCTTAAACAGTCTTAAACAGCTGTAAACATTAGAAACGTTATGCCTCACTATGTCGAAGCTGTGTTTTAGGAAATGTTTTTATTTTGTTATTTAAACTATAGCAATACATCGAGTAACATAGTTTTGCAAGGTGTTGTGTCGGACTCGTGCTTTACAAGTGCCATGCTAGGGAGGGTACGACCCCTGAAAGCTAAAAGCAATGTGATCTGTCCCGTAAATATTTACCAAGAAGTTCCGCGCGAAAATGAATAAATGAACCAAGCATCTTTACGGTTCTTAAAATGTGGGATACTACGCGCAAGTTCTTTTTTTGAGGATCAAAATTCGCCATGCAACACAACATAGGATCAATCTAAAGCGAATGATGGCAAAGACATGATGAACTTTAACGGACTAAGATGCCGCATGTCCAAGATACTTATTACGAGAATAGCGTATGCAACATGTAAACGCACATTTTATATTTTGAGAATAAATTTCTCTTAAATTACTTACTCAAAATACCGAAGCAATTGTTTTCGGTTTTGATGTTCATTAATGAAGTATTAACGAAGTGGGTGCATAGGTTTTAAATAATGTCCTTATTGGGAATGCACGCATTCCATGGAATATATCTTCGCCCCGGGCTCGAGAAATTCCCACTACGCTCTTTGTAAAATGCACAGAAAGACTCTACGTCATTGTACGGTTACTTATATTTTGATTGGGGAGAGAAGGAGAGAGAGAGAGCGGTACAAAAAGTTTCAGACCATGTGCGCTGCTGTCGCCTTATCTTATCAATAATTTGAACGTACACACACGACTCACTTAAGGACTGAGAGAGAGAGAGAGAGAGAGAGAGAGAGAGAGAGAGAGAGAGAGAGAGATACGCTTGTCTTCCGATTAATTCAAAACAAACTCAATCATTTTTCAGTTACGAATCTGTCTATGGTTAGAGCGGTTAAAACGGATTTATATGGAAAATGTATAAATTAATAAATGTGATTAATATTTGGATATCTTTTCTGATATTACCTTCAATAGCATATAATGATGATCTAATTAACACAACTGCAATATCTTCGCCGTTATTGCGTCCAAGATCAGTTCGTTTACCAAATGCAACGTTTCCTTTGCACTATCATTTACATATAAAAACGAATATTCATCGCGGTGATTTTATGTACGCCGGAAATGTAACAATTGACGTTGACGTCCGCGAATCTACAGATGAAATTGTGTTGCACACGAAAGAGTTGAAAAATTGTACTATATTTGTTTATGATCTTGGAACTGGTTTACGCTTAAACGATCTCACTTATAGCTATGACGCGAATAACAGTTTTTTGATAGTACATGCCCATGAATATTATCAAGTGTTTGAGGCCGGTTTCAAGTATCGTTTAGAAATACTTTACGAGGGCATTATAAATGAAATTTTCTTAGGTTTATATTGGTTGCAATATCAAAATAATGAAAATGAGGCAGTGTAAGTACAAATAAATACTTTAAATTACATACATACGTTGTACGATTAAGAATGAATAAGAAGGGGCTGTTAAGCAATCGTGTTAATCGTCCACACCATGTAAATTATGTTGAGTTAAATTTTACACGTAATTTATGAATAATGATGAAACGCATCATTGCAAAAATTTTTAATTTTTTACTTCTCTGTCAGCTGTTTGCAATAATAATAACAAATGCGTTGAAATAAAGGAAGATAAGATAATCAGGCCCTTGTGAGAAAGAGAATATGTTTATAAATATTAGAAGGTTGTTTCCTTTTTGCTAAAGAAAGAAAATGGTTTGAAAGAGGTGAAGAGTGAAAATAATTGAGAGATTTTATTAGTTTTTTTACACCTTCTTACCACTTGTTATACCACAAGGTATATTAAGTTTATGCCGATGGATGCAAAACATGCAAAGGTTTGAGAAAAACTTATCTTTCGTCAAACCAACGGATTCGGTAAACATGTCTGTCTGCGTGTCGTGCTGATGTCCATTCTTGTATTTATGTGTTCACCTCTTTTTATTGACGTACTTTGGCTCCAAGATTAACCTTACTGAATGGTGTTTAGATCGTATCAATTTTACAATCATTGTCCAAAGCCAGTGATCGACATCTCCTTCCCAATTAGAAACTTTATATATATATCTATATATATATAGATGTGCAATTTACACGATTTGCAGAATATATAGGGAGCAAATCTCATTTTGCTTCCCTTATATATGGTTGCGATGAACATTATAAATTATTATAAATATTATAAACTTGCCGCAGCAAGTAGGACGAGTTATATTTGAGATATGACTGGATTCGATATTTTTTTTTTTTTTCTGTAGATATCAGGCAGCGACACAATTTGAACCAACAGGGGCTCGATTAGCTTTCCCCTGTTATGATGAGCCAGCCTTTAAAGCAAATTTTTCAATTTGCTTAACTCATGGGAACACTTATCAAGCAATTTCTAATATGCCTGTGCGAAGTATTCAACCTGGGACGTAAGAAAGTTGTAAAAAAAAATAAACAATAAAACGTACGTCTTTATATACGCCCTTTTACGTTTTCAGTACCGATAATCAATTAACAACTTGTTTTTATACAACCCCGCCCATATCAACATATCTGGTGGCTTTTGCCATTTCAAATTTTGGTTATATAACCGCAGAATATCGTGGTTTAACTCAACGCCTTTATACACACCCTTCAACTATTAATAAAGGGGAGAAGCAATTAAATGCCTCGGTTCATATTCTTGCCGCCATGGAGGATTTCTTAGGTCTTAATTACAGCCTAGCCAAGTTAGATCACATTGCTTTAAATAAAAAGTATGGAGCCGCTATGGAGAATTGGGGATTAATTATGTATAAAGAAAGTTTTTTACTCTACGACGATGAGGCAGATTCTCAAGTAAAATTTAAAGGATTCCTCACTTTAGCTCACGAAATTGCTCATCAATGGTTCGGTAATTTGGTCTCACCCATATGGTGGACATATGCATGGTTAACAGAAGGCTTTGCTACCTATTTTTCCTATATAATCATTGACTTGGTAAGTAGCGCACAAGTAAGAAACAAGATTTTAAGATTAATACAAAAAAAAAAAAAAAAATAAAATTACAATTCTTTTATAGCTTCATCCCGAATTTCAATCGATGGAATACTTTCTGGTTGAAATTGCTGCTAAGGCTTACAGTTACAATGAATACAGTATGCGTCCACATCCAATGACTTACTACGTTGAAAATGAAAACGATATTCGTTCGGTATTTGATATTATTTCATATCAAAAAGGTGCTTAGAAAATAAACGCAACGGTCTTAAGGTTTTCATATCTACCACTATATGTATTACTCCAATGTATAGTGTCTATAATTTTCTTTTACCGTCCAGGCATATCCCCCTCCAAAAGGCCGATTTATACAGAAATATACATATATATAAGAAAAAAATCGTGTAAAAAAGGACAAACTAAGAAAGAAAACATCGTGTAACGTAGAATAGTGCTAGGAGGGTAGGTAGGGAAAATATTAGAAAACCTTTGCCAAGCAAAGCGAGTAAAAGCATTACAATCGGACAAGGCCCGCCCGTAAATACTTTATATATAATATTCAAAAAATTATAAATTTTTCTTAGCTCGAGGCGCACTTTTCCTACTGTGGAAAATGTGAACTGACGTGATCCAAACATGATAAGTGTAATATATGATCTTGTTAAAGATTTTATTATATTTGTGTTTTGCGTTGCAAAAACTACTAATTAGACTTCACCGTCACACAGAGGCTTATTTTCCATGAAAACACTTATGTTGAACTGTGCCCAAAAAACAGACTTAGTCCGAATTCAAGACAAAGTCAGTTTTATATCATATTGCTCTCATGGAACAGTTTTCACAAAAAAATATTAAAATTTAAATTTTTTTCCTGCGTGAGAACTTTTCTACGATATGGTGTCGAGAGTATGACCTAGTTCGCTCAAATTTTTTACCATATTTTGTACAAAATGGACCGATTTTCACTAAGAATTATTACAAATTATAGTTTTTATAGCATCGGTTATTCAGAAAATCGGGTTCGAAATTGGCGTTTCAGAAAATTACCCCAATAGAAATAAATCTTTCATCTCTCTCCTTCGCTCCCTCTCCTCCCACACTTCTTACCTAGTCTCAGCCTGTTACAAACATAGGGGACATCTGCTGAGTAATTTGTGATAGCAAAAAAAAGAAACAAAACGTTGTCCAAATACCTCAAAAATGGCGACTCGTAGGCGGAAGACAAAAAACTCTCATGAAAAGACATCCGGACAAGCAAACTTAATCGATCGATGAAGAAAATGTGCGGCCACCTTATATGTACATCCATACAACTTAGCACATTCTCTATCATAAGTAGCATAGGGTATAAGGATGCGTCCTTCATAAATGGTTTAACATTGCACAGCACATTTTCAAGGGGTGCAGGACGAGTATAGCGCTTGTAAAAATGAAATATTGCTTATTCCAAATTAAATATGGATTTACGGAATTTGCATATACTTTGGAAAAGTTTATGTATAGGTGAAGTCCAATTAAAATTTTGCATTATTTGTACCGCGACCTTGGATTGCATAGTATTGCATTTTTATATTGACGTCATTGACTATAGTGGTTGATATGAAATAGTTTGCTTTGGGCTCAATATTATCCACTCTTTTTCTTGTGTCAAATTTTATATAATGTATACGTAATCTTAGCCGCATGCGTTATTAAAATGTTTCATCATGCTTTCAACCAAAGGACCTTTATGCGAGGCATTAACCACTATTTGATCAAACAGTAAGTACAACTGGTCTATCAATTGGTGTAAATCAAAAATAATGAATAATCAGAGAAAGTTTTTATCTTTTCAAGTCAATATTCAGTTGTTAATGAATACGATCTATTTGAGAGTCTGCAAAACGCAGTAAGCGACGAGTCCTTGGTAAATAAATACAGCTGGACGAACTCCGTATCGGAAATTCTGCTTTCTTGGTCTCATAACAAATGGATTCCAATCGTAACTGTACAGCGGAATTATGATGCCAATAGCATTACTATACGTCAGAAATCGAAAAATATTGAATCCATTCATTACTTTTGGATACCTCTGAATTTCGCTTCGGCTTCGGATTATAATTTTGAGAGGACTACAGTCGATTACTTTATGCCTCCCGTAAAAGAAATAACTTTAAATGCTTCCGATTTGAATATTATGCTCAGTAATGATGATTGGCTGATTGTAAATAAACAACAGACGGGTTTCTATCATGTCCTTTATGACGATGAAAACTTGATGAAAATCGTACAGGCATTGCAAGAAAATCATTTACTAATTCATGAACTAAATCGAGCGGACATTTTTCAAAATATACAACCTCGCATAGAACACTACGATATACAATCGGCTGAAGTGATCTTTGAATTGTTAAAATATTTGCATTATGAGGAGAGTTTGCTAGTTTGGAATTTTGCGACACCCATTGTCGATTTGCTTGGCCGCAATCTGTATGGTACAGCAACTCATGAATATTACGAGAAATTCATACGATATTTAGTTGCTCCAGTTTATAATCGATTATTTAACAAACCGACTATCGATGATGAGCTTACCGTTATGGAATTAACCACACAACAAAGTATATTGTCTTTGGCATGCGAATTCGATTTGCCTGAGTGCATAAAGCACACTCAACGTCTGGCCGAGGATCGTATATTTCGTAATGTTCAAGTAAACAGCAATTCATTTATGAGCGATGCAGTTATTTGTGCCGGAATGCGTTATTTAAACGATAGTCAATTTGATGCAATTCTTGAGGTTCTTTCGAAATCCGCCTCTCAGGATTATTTGCTTTACGCCATACCATGCACTCAAAATGAAAGGCATATGCAAAAGTATTTAAAATATTTAATCAGCGCCGATATCGTTAATATTAATATGAATATATCGGATTCACTTATAAATATCTTCTATATGTTTAAATCGAATATGGCTGCCCGTCCAATTATATGGCGATTTATTGAACATCATTATAAATCACTTATCTCTGCGCCATTTTTCTTAGAAATGTTTAATCGTTTATCGGAATACGTTCACACCGAGCATTTCAAACAGGTAAACAAACGGTGAAGCTTTTATTTGTATGAAAAGCTAAATCTAAAAATTTTCCCCACTCAGTACAGAGATTTGCATCAACAAATTACAATAGCATTGCGAGACTTTAATGATATGGAGAACAAAACGCTAATTGCTGCGGATTCATCTCGCATAGGACGGAAAGTTAAGACAACTGAATCTTTCTTGCAAAGATTTGGCACCGAAATCCATGAATGGCTGCAGCATAATCAATTTCCAGTTTTTTATGCATCTATAGCGAAAAAGAACAAAGCCTCCAAACAGCATCCACGTATTCTTTGGATAGCCAGTAATTTATTTAAAACACTTTTTCATATGATTTTATTATAATATTGTTGATCAAATTTTAATATTAGTTATATACGTTGCATATATAGATATGTACATACAACATTCAACATTTATTTCTCTATAAAACTTTCTTATATTGCTATCTATGCAGAGATAGAGTATCAAATATGGGACCTTTCAGCAAGAGATGTCTTTCCGTAATACTTCTAAACGATTTCCAGGTGCATTCGCTGATTAGAAGCCGGAATTACATAAGCAAATTCAATGATTTTCTATTCAAAATTATTCTCACTTTCGTTTGTCTGGACATAGAATAGAACTCCCTAAGTCAAAAGAAATAAATGAAAAACATTTTCAGCCAAAATGAGCGATAGCTTGCTGCAGTTTTCGGGCTGATGAGGTGCATAGGACACACTTTCTTGATAATGCCGCTGGTTCAAAGTTTGCCGGGAATGCTGAGTGTTTTCTTTGTTCTAAAATTAATGCTACGGAGATGGGTGACCTGTTTTGTGAGCAGGTTCGTTACACCTGACACATAGCTCGCAGAACAGTTCTTGTTCAAAGACCTGATATTCAGGTGATTTTTAGGGTAGTAAGGTAAGTATCTATGCCGACCTGTTGAGTCCGTGATCCGAACTCTAAATTCCCTTTCTCGAGTTGAACAACTTTTTATCGACATCAACAACTTCAAAGAATTCCCGCATTTGTTCGGATGAACGAAAAAATCAGTTCAAGCGCTTTGTAACCTTCAGAAGACACAGCAGTGGGAGAAGTGAATCTGCAAGTGAAAGTGTTGCGAAAGTGTTGAAAGTGGAACGAAATAAATTTCCTTCAACAGGATCTCGGCGAGGAGCGTTTTTTTGCTTGCACTTTATTTTTAAAAGTATTGCGCTAATATTTAAGAAAGAGACTAATGATGAGTACATTAAGGAATATGTTGAACGACTTAGCTTGGCCGAGTCTTTTCCAAACGCTTTGTATCACTCATAATATCCAAGCCTTTTTAATAAAACAAATTAAGTTAATCAAAGAGAAAATTGTGTTTTTTTAAAAAACTAAAGACTCTCTTCGTTTCGGGCTGTCCTTGCTGAGAACGAATTAAGGAAATCATTATTAATTTGTTAATATGTACATTAATTTTTGGCGATACGATTTATTGAGTGATTCAAAACGAAATTTCGTTTTATTGGCCACAAAAAAGTCGATATCTTTATAGTGTGTAAATATTTTATCAAACACAGTAGAATTTATTATTATTATTATTATTATTAATTTCGCCAGAGAAATAAATTCTAAGACTAAACTCTTAAAGGCACTAGCATCTAAGGCTATCGGATTTTATTAAAAACTCTACCGCACTTGAGATTCGAATCCACGACCATTGACTTGCTAGTCGAGATTCCTCTCCTTCGGCTACTCAGGCGCATACAGTAGAATTTAATAAACTGACACTCTTAGCGATCTGACGAGTTATCTTTCGGCGATTTGCTGCAAAGTTTTTGCACTAGCTTTCTATCCAGTCGTCGCCTCCATATGTTAGATGTCAGTTTGTCTTTGTCTTTTATTTATTTATTTTTTTTAGCTCTGACGATTAAGTCTTCTTTTAACTTTTTTTTTAGTTAGAAAGTCAATCCGTTTTGGGACACACTTTAAAATGACGAATCAACTAAGCAACATATTATTAGTTTCGGGAAAAAGAAATCCATTATTTTTATATGAACTTCAGGACTTTATTTAACATGCTTCGGATTGTCCGATTTGGGTCAAATATGCACCGTTTTGTTGTACGATTTGTTGCCATTTTAAAGGTAACTTTAAAACGCCTCTCTCATAGAAGTCCTGGTCTCCATTTGCAAAAAACTCTAGTAGTCGATTTTCACAATCCTCCCTAGATTCCAATTTTTTATCATTAAAGAAATTTTGCAATGCAAGAAAAAGATGATAATCGCTTCGTGCCAAGTCCGGACTGTATGGCGGATGCATTAAAACTTCCCAACCAAGCTCCCGAAGTTTCTGGCGAGTCACTGTAGATGTGTGTGGCCTAGCGTTGTCCTGGTGGAACACGACACCTCTACTGTTGGCCAATTCTGGCCGTTTCTGGTCAATCGCCATCTTCAAACGGTCCAGTTATTGACAGTAGAGATCATAATTTAGCGTTTGGCCATATGGAAGCAACTCATAATAAATTATCCCCTTCCAGTCTCACCAAATGCATAGCAAAACCTTCCTGGCCGTTTGAGGTGCTTCACCGCTCTTTGACCACGATCGTTTTCGCACAGGGTTATCGTATGTGATCCATTTCTCATCTCCAGTCACCATCCGTTTAAGAAATGGGTCTATCTCATTCCGTTTGGCCAAGGCTTCGCAGATGGAAATTCGATCCATCATGTTTTTTTCTGTTAATTGGTGTGGCACCCAAACATCGAGCTTCTTTTTGAATCCAGCTTTGTGTAAATGGTTTAAAACTGTTTTATGGTCGATTTTTAGCTCCTGGGCGATGTTACGACTGCTAACATGCCGGTCAACTTCGATCATTTCTCTGATTTTATCGACATTTTCGACGACCGGCCTACCTGTGCGAGGTGCATCTTTAACATCAAAAATTCCTGAACGGAATCTACGAAACCAAAATTGCACATAATTGGCTGTTACAGTATCGGAACCATAAACACCATTCACAATTTTAGCCGCCTGGCTTGCACTTTCGCCTTTGTCAAAGAAAAACTGTAAAATGTACCGAATTTTCTCTTTGTTCACTTCCATTTTTAACACGCTGTAACTCATAACTGAATGCACCAAACAAAAAACAGCAAAGATTTTTTTTTACTGCGAAATGTCACCTTTCCAACGATCATAAATCTGAAATTGTTTGATCGATACTTTACGAGAAATCTATCAGTGCAGCAATCTACCGAAAAAATAATGGATTTCTTTTTCCCCGAACTAATATTAATTTTTTTTCCATCCCCACTGGCTATGCTAAGTTTTCCTTTTTCATGTGCGGCGGCCAAAAATGGGACTCACTCAAATCGTATTCTCGATCCATAGTTGGTATTGGTCACGAGTAGTGATTACCTTCTCTTGTGTGCGAGCGAAAAAAGAGAGCATTCCCTTCGTTCGAGCTTTCACTTTTAACGAAAAATATGCTTTCATGAGCAACATATACGACGAAGCTATAAACCGTTTTATACTCTACATCACTTGTGGTCCAAAGCTATGTAATGTTTGTATGAATGTATGCAAGATTCAGAAGAACTTAAGAAAGACCCAGCTTCTATTATATCCAAGCTTGTCAGGCCGTCCGTCCGTCTTGTTTTCATGTTTCCAACCTACAGATCGCAATTTTTGAAATATTTTATTGAAACTTGGTTCTATGACTTATTAAGGCCCTAGGCCGAAATCTATTAAACTTGTTTTCGACTTTTTCCCATGAAACATCTCAATTTGGAAATTCGTGAACTGAATAACTTCAGGACGACGTGCAATGCATTTAATAATGAGCCGGTCCCGCTATAATGTTTTCACTTATTTTTATTTATTTGTTTATGTATATTTTTTATCTTTACAAAAATATATAGTTTCGAGGCAAATAGTCGATAATGAATAATCCGGCAGCTAATCCGACAGGTATATGACATTAAAAACCTTTATATCTATCATAATAATTGGCTATCAGCTGAGGGTTATCCATTAACGGAAATTGTCTTTGAAAAGAAAGAGATATTCGCTAGACCTGGTGATTGATTACTACTTTTAATCGATGTATCAATTACAACATCAAAAAAATAACGTCCGCCTTGAAAACAAGTTTTCATTTTTTCGAAAATACATTAACAGTTCTCGTTCGCGAAACGCACGACATAGATACAAATAATATATAATATATTGATATATGTATATATATATGTGTTATGAATATTTGGAGTACCGTCGTAGTACGTCGATTAATTAATGGAATTTATTTTAACTTTCGTATGTCGATGATTTATAAAATGATAATAAAACCGTTCAATTAAAGTTAATCAACGATTTTCGTTAGCGATAACGTGCAGACATTCGCCCAAAGTTAACTGCAAAACCTAATCTCTACCTCTTATCAAAGTAGAACTTTATCTGGGCGTGTATTAGCAATATACTGTGCTTGCAATCTAAATAGCTCTTAATAAATTAGTTCGGCACGATGTTCAATTTATTTCTTCCATAATCTACGAAACATTCAGCAAACCAGTTAAAAAGGAAATGTAGAAAGCGTAAGTATAAATGCTTAAGCTTTAAGTGAATTTTTGATACCTTTATTGATTACCTAATTAATCAGATCAGTGCAACTGGTCTAAGTTACGTACACTTTATAGATCGCTTTGTGCAATGCAATAATAAATTGAGAAGAGAGTAATTTTTACTTTAGCATTTTAATTTTTTTCGTAATTTTTTCCCATTTCCTTAAAGCTTTCCGGTGATCTTGAATTGATCATTTTTGGGCTGTTTAAATGCTTTAGCTGGTTACGTTATTTTTACCTATCTTGATTTTAATTTTAGTGTAGAGAGAGATAGATATAGAGAAAGACAGAGATAAATAGATAGATAGATAGAGAAAGAGAGAGAAAGAGAGAGAGAGAGAGAGAGAGATAGAAAGGCAGTAATACGTAAATTTTTCCTGAATTGACATTTATATATATCACGCAGTACATGCTACGAAAACTTACCAAACTCGATCTGTAGATTATCGTATCACTTTGCAGTAAAATCGTGACATACAGCACCACAAAAGCAACTGAGGAAACTTTTCCACATAAATATCTAGAAAAGCAAAAAGTCAAAGAGCGAGTAAAAGCAGTATAGTGGACCAAGACCTGGAAACAATAAATACCTGACACACCACTTCGCTTAATACAATTATTCTTAGAAGTCTTTTCAAACTAAGGTGTTCTAGAGGCAAGTGGTCGAATAATGGTCCAATGCGAACCATTTTCAATGCCATTCGTCCTTGAACAAATACACATACCATTGTACCAAGTTTCCTCAACATATCTCAAAAAGTTACGACCTGTATGTTGAGCACAAGCAGACAAGACATCCAGACGGGCGCAAGCAACGGACTTGCAATCTATAACAGAGAGTAATATCTTTAATTAATTCTTTTCAATTTATGATATATGTAATATGTAATCTTTGTTATATATTGTAAAAAACAAATGAAGGAAAATAGATTAAATGCTATCGAGAGTTATCGAGAGGAAGGAAAACTTTCGGGTTCCGCCATTTTAAATTACAGGCCAAAGGAGACCGTAGGTAGGGCAGGGTGTAGAACGGTCCATGGCAAAACATCAGTCCGTTCGGTAAGAAAGATTCCATAGTTCATTTGTCTTCATAAGGGCTTGTGCGCGTTGTATTTCTTGAGTATAACTCTCTGTGAAGGGTTTGTTGGATAAAAAGTAGAACTGCCCCTATTACTACAGAAGTAGTCAGTTTTACTCTGACCTGTTGACCCTATTAACATAATATATTATTTCTGTTACATATCCTAAATCAATTTAGAAAGTGGGTAAATCGGTACAATAAAAGAGCGGGTCTATTTCAAATCCTTCTGGGTGTTGCATACATCCGGACCATTCATACCTACCTTTACACCATAAGCGGTGAAGGGTACAAAAAGTTTATGCCAAGAGGCAAACTCGACTACCTGTGTTAGTTTTTCCCGGGAAAGCAACGCTTTCTGCGGCAGAAGAGAAAATTCATCATTCATTTGATTTCCAATTGCATTCACTTTGAATGAATTGTCGATTTCTTGAGTCGTTTCAAAATCAGAAAAATACATCAATTTAATGTGAATATTTAGTTAACATTATCTAATGGTAATTACCAGAATTTTTCACCCCAAACTGTTTATGCAAGCATTTAATGTGAATGGATAGGCTTAGAGTCAACGGAATTTGTGTGATTAGTTTTGAAACTATAAATGTTGATAATATATATATGTTTATATGTAAAGTTTATTCTTGCCTATATACATATATAAATACATATATATGCTTACATATCAACACGTTTCATATATATTTTCAAAATGTAAAAATTATTGTTAACAAATAAAATATTAGTCAATCAAATGGTGTTATCTTCAGTCATTAAATTCCGCCTGAACTTTAAGATAAGCTGCAGAATGAACCGTTATTATAAATAATACCTATCCAGCTGCACTAGTGCTCAGTAGATCAAAGGCGTTTTTAATAAACTCTTTTTTTGTGTATATACATATACATAGATATATAAAATCTTTCAGTCAAATTTATTCGTAATTAAAAAAGAAGAAGACAATTACAATACTTTTTAATTGTGTAAAACGATTGATTGTTCGTTCTGTAATATTAAAGAAATTAATTAGATTTAAAATTTAATAAATAAAGATAAAAAATGATATCGAACAGGTAAAGCTAACGCAATCACAAATAACGAAATAAGATTAAGAGAAGGAAAACTGAATATATATTTTTATCACGATTCCTGCAATACACGGCTAATAAATTCGCACCTTCGGTCTTTCTCAAAATATTGAATGTTAAGAAAAAAGTTTTATATATACATACATACACGTATATAGTTTTGAAAATAACGAGTAATTAATGGTTTATAATTAGAGATATTAAACTGAAAATTTCGAAATAAGAAAGTGTAGACGAAAAGAAGAAGAAGAGGAAACGTGAATTTGGCATGCCGACAAGAAGGAGAAAAGGATACTTGAAGTGTAGGCGAGAAGAAAAAAGGGACACTTAAATTGACAGTGTAGACGAGGAGAAAAAAAAGGCACTTGGACACTCAAGGTACTTCAGCATGATGATGGACGTGGCATAATAAGCTCATGTTTGAATAATATTTTATTCACGCTTTTACTTCAAGTAAATTAAAGAAATTTCAACGGTTTATTTAAATTAAACTTTCACTTTCTGAGCAAAGCGCAAACGCTACTCGCTCTGGCCTAACCTTTCTGACCATTGCTGTGTCTACATACATTTAAAAAAAAAAAAAAAAGTTTCAAAATGTAACTTTGCCTTAAGCCTTATTAAGATCGATCTTTCTAATAAGAAGATCGAGCTACTAGGTTTATTGAACGTTTTTCTATGCAACGTGGAGAGAATACCCTTACAGGCTTCTTTATTATATATTCCGGATTCGACCTTACTACTTTTGGGTAATAGTTCATAGACGAGGAAATTAATTCGTTCACTAGCTCTCCTATAGCGTGATTTTGATGATTAACTTTCCATTTGCAAAATTTTTTATGACTTACGTCAACCTAGTATATATTTCCAGCTTGCACTAAGCTATGCCCTCAACTATCTTATTTTTCTTTTGAGAATTTCTATCTGCAAATAAAGAGAGAGTTTTCCAATTGTCATCATAGCGTTTTTACTATTTTTCGATAGGATCGGAAGGCGAATTAACGAAAATTCTTGGCGTGTCTTCTCTTCACAGTTTGCTTGCGTGTCTTATTGGGTTGGAGCAGATTTTCAAAATATTGTGTTTTACGTAATATAGGATTCCGAACATGATATTATTATTTATAAAACAAAAGCGTTTCTGGGTCCTTTGCTATTTACGATGAATCACTTCCTCGTAATGTTTCTCAAGCGAATAATCGATAATTGAGAAAATTCGAATAAAATTATTTGTAGACTTGGATGATCAGCACTTCTTTGCTGCTCTCCATCTTTTATGGGCATATACTAAATAGGCTAAAATATATTGAGCTTAATTATCGAGATCTTCTATTTTGAATTTCAACATTTAAAATTCACTTTACTTTCCCATTTGTCTACAGGTTTTCATACCCATCACCTACGGCTGGCCAATATACGTTTCAATGTCCAGAAGTTTCAGAGACTTAACCAAGTATATATTCTGAATCGACAAAAGTACGTCCGTCTGTCCATCTATGTAATGTTTGCTATAATTCTCTCGGCCTCAGAAATCAAACTATCGATTTCATATTTTTAAAAGTATTGGAAATTTTTGCACGCAGGCTGGCGTTGAAAATGGGCCAAATAGGTCGAAGGAAGCGCTTACAGCGTTACGTCAGTTGATAAGGCCGCTATTTTTCGCTCATTACTCAAAAACTACAGCAGATAAAGGAACAAAAATTTTAACGCATGTTCTACTGGCGACACTGTAGTACCTCTACAAAAATCGGAAAAATTGACCACTCTCACCCAATATTATAGCGTCAAAACCTTTATAGCAGTTTCAAATTTTGAATGCACCTAACCATATCCGTCTGTTCATCAAGACCAAGATACATTTTGCGTCGCGCCCATCCAATATTATAGAGTATCAAAATTTACTTCCTTTCCTTTTTTTTTAGTTCATAATGGGTATAAAAGAGTCAGCCACGAACGAACATAATTTTCTTACTTGTTTTTTTCCAATATGGCCAATCATTCAGGGGACAGAGGCTGACAGTTAGAAAGAAGTGAGAAAAGAGAAAGATAAAAATTGTAGTTTATCTTGCCGTTTAACATAAAACTTAGTTTTAGGAAAGTGAATATCATAATCATAGTTGGTCTAAAAAATATATCCATATTCGTTTTACGTCAAGAAATAAATGAATTTCTTAAAGGCAAACATTTATGCATCTTCCAGAATGTATTTCACACTTGAAGTAGGTGTGATTCTGATAATCTGCTCCAGTCTTGCAGTCTTCGCTCAGTTTGAGAACAAAAAAGGTACCGATCTCAACTATATACCCTATGGTGAATTCATGGAAAAAGATAGTCCCGATATCAATTATCGGTTGCCAGATGATCTAAGACCAGATCATTACGATATCAATTTACGACCTTATCTATTGGAATCGGATAAAGAAAACCGTTTCACATTTGATGGCGAAGTCTTTATTAATATAACTGTTCTTAAGCGAACAAATAAAATTGTCTTACATAGCAAAAACTTGAAGTTTTCTAAAAGTGAATATTGTGAAGACATTAACAAGCCACTGAACTGTACCAGTTTCGTGGAGGCTGATCCCGACAATAAAACCGACATTGTTACATACATTTTAAACAAAGAATTGCAAGTTAATAGTGTTTACATTTTACATTTTAAGTATAAGGGTTCAATGGATAACGATATGCATGGATTTTATCGTAGCTCATATACTAATTCCAAAAATGAAACCGAGTAAGTTTTAGACTTTTTTTAAGAGGCGTCCTGTTAATAGTTAAATATATCTTATTCAAACAACATTGATTTAGATGGCTTGGTACAACACAATTTCAAACCAATCATGCGCGACGCGCTTTTCCAAGTTTCGATGAACCCAAATTTAAGTCAACTTTCAAAGTTACTATTACCCGTCACAAAAGCATGAAAACCGCCAGTAACACGAATATGCTGAGAGCATCTAATGTTGGGTAAGGCACTTCTGAAGGAACTTTTCCTGATAACTGCGTCCGAGAAATTATTTTCCTTTACTTTTTCCCAGAGATTATTACGAGGATGAATACGAGACAACTCCAATAATGTCTACCTATTTGCTAGCGTTCATAGTGTCTAGGTTTACTGAACGTACCGATGATAACGGGTCTTTCGGAATATTAGCAAGACCTGACTATTATGCGCAAACTGAATATAGTTTCGTTGTAGGGCAAGAAATTTTAGAAATATTGGATAAATATTTCGATTTGCCTTTTTACACTCTCGGCATTGATAAAATGCAAATGGCTGCTATTCCTGATTTTTCTGCCGGCGCCATGGAAAACTGGGGTCTCTTAACCTACAGGGAGAGATTGCTTTTGTATACAGAGGAGGGTACGACATTACATGTTAAACAACAGATCGCTGCTGTTATAGCTCATGAACAGGCCCATCAATGGTTTGGTAACTTAGTGACTTGCGACTGGTGGAGTTATGCTTGGTTAAACGAAGGTTTTGCCCGATATTTCCAGTACTTTGCAACAGATAAAGTGAATTATACAAATTTCATTCTACTCGCCATGAGACACTTATAATTTCTAAACATTATCAGGTTGAGGAAGAATTTGAATTAGATAAGCAATTCGTAACGGAACAAATCCAATCAGTTATGGTTAAGGACTCTATGAATGACACAAATCCTTTGTCTGATGAAAATACCAACACGCCCTCAGATTTAAATCGTATGTTTAATTCCATCAGCTATAATAAGGGAGCGACGTTTATACGTACGGTTAGACACATTATGGGAGAAGAGAAATTCCAGAAATCATTGCAAGACTATCTTAAAACATAGTAAGTAAGAGACTTTTATTTTCTCTACTATATTATCTTATTTATTTATTATATTTATAGTCGGTATCAAAATACTATACCTCAAAATTTATTTGATACTTGGAAAAAGTATATGGATGATGAGGAGGCTGATGATTTCTTCTTGAAATTTACAACACAAGTCGGTTATCCGGTTATAACTTTTAATTTGACTTCTCCGAAAACGTTAGAGATAAGTCAGAAAAGATTTCTGTTGAAAGACAATGACGGTTCCGATCCAACCTTGCGTTATGTTGTTCCGATTACCTACACAACTGATAGCGAAAAAGATTTTAATAACACTCAACCCAAGTTCTTTATTCGGCCAGTAGATGCTAATAAAATCGTAGAATTAAATGATAACGTTTCTTGGGTTATTGGTAACATCCAAGTGACAGGCTATTATCGGATGAATTATGATGAGAAAACTTGGCATAAAATTCATCATGCACTCTTCGAAGATCACTGGAGTAATATACCCGATGTGAATCGGGCTCAAATTGTCGATGATCTCTTCAATTTGGCTCGATCTGGTACAATTAGTTATGACCTGGCTCTTGACGTATTAGAGTATTTAGAAACGGAAACCGATTATTTGCCTTGGTTTGCTGCTTTAAATGGTTACAGTTTTCTTGCTGTTCGCTTGGGCACAGATACGAGCAACTTTGCCTCGTATTTTCTGCATTTAAGCGATAGAGCTTATCGTAAGTTGGGTTTCGAGGAAAACCAGAACGATACAACTCTTGATATATACAATCGTGAACAAATCCTTAATTGGTCTTGCAAATATGGTAACAAAGAATGCATTGAGAAGATTAAAGGATATTTCGGCAAAGATTTAATTAGAAATCCAGTGCCAATAAATATACGAGCCATCGTTTACTGTGCGGCCATGCGTGAAGGCGATAATCAAGATTTCGATAAACTTTTCGATAAATATTTGAGCGAAACTGCGGCTACAGAGAAAACTTTAATTTTAAATTCGCTGGGCTGCGTTAAGGATAACGGGCTGGTCAACAGATATTTTGATGTAATTATGTCAAACGAAATCCGTCGTCAGGATAAATCAAGTGCGCTTGCCAGCCTTTACAATGAAAATAATGAAAATGTTGAAGTGGTCTTCGATTTAATAGATTCCAATTTGAATCAATTCGTAGCGGCGTGAGTTATAAGCGTTTTTTTTTTTTTGCGAATGTTAGTTTTGAAGTTACGTTTTGTTCTCTCCTTAGCATGGGTGGTTATTCGGCTGCTGCTACTTCTATAACCGGTATAGCATCCCGCTTTACTGAGAAATCGCAGGAGGAAAAGTTGAAAAACTTTAATGCAAGGCATAGAACAGAATTCGGCGATGCAGCCACCACATTAGATATTGCTGAGAAAATAGTTGCCGAAAACTTGGAATGGGCGGAAAATAAATTAAATACCTTTAAGAATTACTTGGAAAGTCGGTCTAAAAGCACCAGTACCAGGAATAGTGCAAATACAATAATTATCTATATATTAGGTGCTTTTGCGCTTATAGCACTGCTCAAAACGTAATAAAATTGTAAGACTTTAAATCTAAGAATCACTGAAAATTTTAAAACGGTATTTTTAACCGCAAGTAAGTAAGAGCGCATCACGAGCTACTGTTCAAGCGATCGTATCTTATCTTGGATCTTATGCAAACAAAAATATTCCACAAAAATATGTACGACCATGTGAACGATAACTATCCCACATTTCTGAAGAGTACCTATTTCTTCCAAATGAAAAACTCGTCGTGACACTTTTATATATTGTATACTATTATGCGTAAAATGAATCATATCCTCAAAAGTTGCTATTTTTCTATGCTATATTTCTCGAGCACAAGTATGTGCCATAATTTGTTCATTTAGAAATTGATATTTGCAATGGATACCTTCCTTAATTTCACCTTCATCTTTTTGCTAGAAATTTTCGTTATTTCTTTTATAAAAAATGATTATCCCGCAGAAAGAATGTTCACAGAATCAACATAATTAGGGTAATACCTATCGGAGACCTTTAAAAGCTGCATATACATGCTGTAAAATATCAAAATATTCATGAAAGATTTTATAAAATACTTATATTTTATATGCTGCCGTTCTCGGTATCCATGTACCATTAATATTTTTGTTGCTTTTTTTTTGTCACATTCATATCAACAAGCTTTCACTCTTTATGTAAAAAGGAGAGGCTCTCTTACTTTCCGGTACTTAAATACTTAATTTCTTGAATTTAATATACACTGAGAAATATTTGATATAGGAAATTAAATTTGAAAGTTCGTAAAAGTGAAGAGAAAAAATGTCCTGCTGTTGAATGAGATAAGCTTGTAAGCTTTAGAAGAATAAAAGTAACGACTTTGTTATAAGACCTTGTCTTGAAGTTGAGCCGCAGCTATACCGGGATTGATATGGTCCGCTTAAACTATTCTCCTTGAGGCATCTTTTCAACACTTGTTCTTCAATTAGATATCTACAATAAACAAAACTTTATAAGAGCTTAGCTTCTCGTTGTCTTGGCTACCATCTACTTACAATCCGTTTTTAAGTTCTCCAATTTTTCTATCCCAAAGCTCTCAAATTTTTTGTCATTTTTTCGTGTCCTCTTTTGTCAACATGAACATGGTTATTACGATGATTTCATGGCCCTTTCATCCATTTCCGAAAGGCGGTTCTTTAAACCCTTGATCTAGTAACTATTAACCGTAATTATAAATACAGCAAATTGTTGTTGGGGAAAATTTCGACATATGATTCTTTTTATAATACTTTAAAAATCGTACTCGGTTTCTCAATTTGCCCGAACCTAAACCACAATAATATGCCATAGTTACCGTAGTAAGTTAAAGTTCCCATACTTTAATGACCTTCTGGTTAAGCAGGGTTCTCAACTTATTATTACCGTTCGATCAATTCAGAAAATATGAATGGCGACAAGTAAGGAAGTTCGATTTGCCTCAAAAAGAATTTTATGTCCAAGTTATTAATAAGTGAATGCCCAATTAAATAAATCTTTGCTTTCGCCGTGACCAACCACTCAGGCTATGTCCTTAACACATTCAAGTATGGAGCTGTCCTGGAAGCACTATAGGTACAAAGAATGAAGAGGGGAGAGCAATGTTTGTATATGTTCATATTTGAGGCGCTTTAGCAGTAACTAAAGAAATTTTGTCCGGATCGCGCCCAACTTCAAATCAAAACCGCGCTGGCTAAATGTTATAGCTTTCTATCGCAATGAGAGCTTCTGTTTTAGAGAATCCTTGGGCAGAAAAACTAGCATGGATAAATCGATTAAAAGTTCTTACACTGACTTATGGCGTTTGTTTTCCATTTCGTGTTACAAACGGAATACAGGACCTGCTAGATCTCCATCGCCTGTAGGAGGGTGCAAAAGTACATTTGTTCTGAATTGCAAGCTTCGAAGACTTGAAGCACTATGTATATATCAATAGTGAATAATTTAAGCACAGCGGGTTCAATGTAATACACTCCAATGTAATGTTATTTCTTCATGTGCATTTATGCGTTGTTTAGTACTTGTAGTGTGTTTAATGTAAAAGCACTTTAGAGAAAACAAAAAAAAAAACAACCAACAAACTACACAGTCAGTCAAGTTCGTCTATTTTGTGCCCTATGTTGCACAGCTTTTTTTTATGGTAGACTTTCTTCGATTCAACGCCAGGCCTACTAAAGCAAATATGTCGTCAGAACACAAATTTAAAGCTTATGCGTCCGTCCAAACTAATAAGGTTAGGTCTGCAAGAACGGATAACTTAAAGAAAACTCACAGCACTGACATACTCGCTGTTATGACTCATTAACTGTACTAACTTACGCAAAACGTACCTTATAGTTGTTATACATTAACTTGTGTAAATTCTGCCAGTCCAGTACGCCAGTATATGAACATATAAAAGGTTTAGATATTAAACGAAAATTTTTCTTAAGACGTTTGTAAGTGTTGACGAGTGACAAACATTTCGCTAAATGTTCTTTAAGCTTGAGAACACAAAATGCATATTATTTTGGAATTTGGTGTTTTTCTTCTTTATGGCACGAGGAATAAAGAATAAGGTGAAGGCTGAAAATGCCGTTCTTTCTGATGAAAATGGTGAGCTAATGAAACGAAAAAAAAACAAGATAATATTATTTTTTATTAACTTATCGATTTGCCGAGCTCTCCAATAATTGGCTAATTAAGTTTCAATTTAAAGTACCGTAACGACATCTTATTGAGATTTGCTAAAAAATGTATAAAGAGCGGATACGAAACTAGTTAGGCTATTAATTGCATTAGTAGTAGCAATATGATAATTATTTCCAAATCGCGATTCCCTCCCTTTTTTTGGATTTAAATTCGAATCCCCGGTAAATATTTTAGCCGGGTTAGCTAGCATTTATTGTACGTAGAAGGATAGGATTCCGGATGAAAGAGTTTATTTAGAATTATATTTAAAAGATACTTTTAAATATATATTATATGTATTTACTGCAGGGCACATAGTAAACCTGCCAATACCGTAAAGTAGACGGAATCTATATAGATATTCCTCGATTACAGTCAACTATGTGTAAGTCTGGCAGTTACTGATTTAAATATGGGTGCATATACAACTTAAACTTTTAATTCAATCAAAGCATTGATCGACTGTGACATTGTATAACGGTTTTTATGTTTCGCGTCAAGGCAGATGTAAGTTTCTTATTAATTTTTTATTGCAGATGTTTCTCATATTGGAGATGATTGTCAGGTAACACCAGTGATTCATGTTCTTCAATATCCCGGATGTGTTCCTAAGCCTATACCATCTTTTGCTTGTGTAGGCCGCTGCGCTAGCTACATACAGGTCTCATTTTCTTACAGCAAATATTAAGTATTTAATGAAAATTCCCGTATTTGCATTCAAATGCCAATAGGTGTCTGGGAGTAAAATATGGCAAATGGAACGATCATGCATGTGTTGTCAAGAATCGGGTGAACGCGAGGCAGCCGTCTCTCTATTCTGCCCAAAAGCGAAGCATGGAGAACGAAAATTCAAGAAAGTGCTTACAAAAGCGCCTTTGGAATGCATGTGTCGTCCTTGCACTTCTATCGAAGAATCAGGAATCGTACCACAAGAAATTGCTGGTTACTCGGACGAAGGGCCTTTAAACAATCACTTTCGTCGCATTGCCTTACAATAAAAAATTAACTTTTTAATATACGTAAATTATTCTCTAAAAGAACTTAATTAAATTAATTTTTAAAAATCCAAAAACGGGTTTTTTTAGCCAAAATTTGCTTTTCAACAAACTTCTTTCTTTTTTTTTTGCCGATTGATTGTTTCAACATTAATTCCAAAAGCGTTAGGCTGAGTAAATTTAGAAACAAATTTAGAAAGGTGTTTTAAAATAATTGTTTATTTTCCAAAATTTAAAACTACATTGCAATTTAATTTCAACGACAATTATAAAGATAAATTTTGCACTAATATTTTATTTGATCCCTACTTTCGCTATAAGTGAAATTAAGTTTACTTTCAGTTACTAAATGCTTTGAATAATATAGCTTCGTTGTAAATAAGCATATAAATATAAATAAATATAAATAGTTTAATCCATAAATAAGAATTTAAATTACATTTTCTCTTGCTTGCTGTTAAATTTTGCTTGCTGATGTTAGATTTTACATTAAATTTCTTTTAGACAGTGTTGTTCTCTGTTGAAAGTCTGCTTCTTTCTATGAGAAGAAAATGTTGAGAGGAATTTCATTTATTCTCTAGTGTCAAATCTCTCTCTCTGCCCCCCTCTCTCTTAATCCAACTCTTATCATATAAGAAGTTTATTTAAAGGTGGTTGCATTTTTCCAATCCCATTTGAGGTAATCATTACTATTAACTTTTTATTGAATTTGCGATGCGACAATATTGAGACATAGCGGTCAGGAAAAGTTTATGAGCAAGATTATTAAACAAGTGTTAATAAAATAGTTTCTTGAGTTTATTCTTTTCGAATAAAATCTCCAAAACTACGTAATTTTATACTATATAAAAAAAGTTACTAAATATAATTTAATAACATTCAGCTTGCCCTGTTTTTTTTACCGTTATAATTTTTAATGTATTACAAAAAAAAAGAAGAATGCTCTTTTCAGTTCCAAGACTTCACACGGTATTTATATTAAAGTGTTTCTGTAAGAGAATGAGAGAGAAAGAGAAATTAATTTTCGGACTAATATTCGCTCACACAATCAGCTGTTTCACCTGTTAGTGTTAAAGCTAAAAAGAAAAATTTTAAAAATAATTTGTTTAATTTGTCTTATTTATTACTCAAGCAAGCATTAGTTAATGTTTATTGAGCGGAAATAGTAACAAAATAAATTATTTTGTTGCCGTTCAACAGAGGACGCAAAAGTTCATACATGTATATACATAATAAATCAGTTCAAAGAAAGTCAAAAGCCAAATAATAAAAGACAAAGAACGTGATGTGTTGTTCAATTTATTTTAATTATGAAAATTGCAAATCCGCGAAACTTTTAATAATTTTAAATTAAATACATCGTTTAATTGCTGAAAACAAAAAAAATGTTCTAACTAACAAAGGATTCTCCGCAGATTAATGACGACCTGTAGACAGTTACAATGTACCCAAATGTACAACCGCGTCTCAAATATCCGCAAATATTTCAGCAATCTACTAAGAAAAGTCAAATATTGCGGTTACGGGCAATTTGGAGGACATCGATCACAGGATCGTGCAGAGTGCCTATAGCCGGCATAATTATGATGATAGTATTTGCAAATTTCAGTTATTTGGTACAAACGCACAATTGTCAACATTACTATCCTAAAGCTTCTGATGTAAGTTTATCATACGTGTATGCATGTATGTATGTATGTATTACATGCCTACGTTTCCTTGTTCAAATATTTAGCTGCAATTTCATCTTCAACATCTCTCAATAACTTTCAGTTCGTAGCTTGACGATTATATCGACGGAATGAAATAAATAGTTGTAGGAATTGAAAAAAACTTGTCTCCAAGATATAATATCAGGCGCGCACAATTGCGTACTTCTCGAACATATTTGTACATTTTTCTTTATGAATATATTTAATTAAAAATGCGCAATGTGTAATTGACTATTAATATGTATAGCACCTCGCAATAGCTCGACAAAGGCTTTATTTAGTTCATTTAGTCACAACAACTATCGCAATTATTAACAACATGAATTAAGTAAGGGGTGTGGAGGATGTTGTATATATATTCAGATTGAGAATTGATTTACTCTATGTTAAACCGCAAGACATAAACCTGTTTTTTCTTTTTTAATAAAAAATTCAAATATATTTTATAACTTTAAAGGTGAACTAAGTAATCTGTAAAGCAATGCACGATTGTCTTTCTTCATTACATACAAATCTGCATCTGTAGTACTTGTAGTATAGGTATTGTTTTATAAAGTCAATGAATTACAAAGAAAATTGTTGCGTCGAATATGTCACATGAAACTTTTGCATCTTATGTTGGCATAACCTTTTTTCAAAATTTTTGTGCTTTTTTTGTAAACATTTATGTATTTCCGGTTATTAGTAAATTAGAAAAAGTCGAAGTTTTGTTAAAAAACATTATTCCTTTTTTATGTCCAACTGCATAATTGAGCTTATTATAGCTTCCTAAAATTGATAACGGTTTGAAGGGTGTCGTAACAAAAATTTGTCGAATATCGCATTTTTTTTTTTTTTTAAGTTTCAATAATTAATTCGCCATGTTTAACTTTTAATCGTTCCATTAAAACTGCAGTAGTGACTATAAAGCTTCTTTAAAAAAATGAAAGTACGTCTTATTAAGTCGAAAAATAAGTAAAATTTACCCCTATGCCAACGTTTAATAGGCGAGAAAAGAAACCGTACCTCTTTTTATTTCGTAGAGAACGGCTTTAAAGACACTTTAGGCCTAAGTTAGGAATTGCTCAGGGCAAAGTCCAAAAATCAGTCAAATCACACATACATACAAAGGGGAATTGTCTAATATCGTCTTATTAATAATAATAATATGAAATGAAAAATTAAATAAATAAAATGACGTCTCCTATTAGTGCTACAAAAAATCCTTCCATAAATACATCTATTGACAATTTCTCTATTCTTAACCTTACGCTTTTATGAATACTGTCATCAATTTTAGCAGCAAGTGGGCTTTGGCGGTGATCTATATAAATAGGAGGATTGTTTAAAATCTCAATTCTCTCTGTCAAAAAAAATGGCTCACATTTTATGAGAAACACCAAGTTAAAGTCAATATATCATTGATATGATAAATGATGCAAATCTCCTGCTTTACCTTATAAAGCATTTATGGTTATTTAAAGATTTGTACATTATACGCCACTAAAACGATTGCCCTCATTATTTTGTTAGGAAAACTGACTTTTTAATTAAACATTAAAATGATTATTAAAACCAAAAATGGGACAACAAATTAATTGAATGAAAGTTTACAAAGAAAATCTACACCATCCCATATGTTACTCAATTAGAGAAGCGAGCAATTGCGATTGCATTAATTTAACGTATTTGTGTGAACACATATAAGTAAAAGTCCATAGAAAAGAAAAGATTTTCACAATTTTCAATATGTATAACTGAAAATTTTCAAAGCATTCAAAGAGACTCAATAGAGAAGCAATAAGTTTGACATTGAAAGTAGGCGCTAAGCGAAAGACTTTAGTGTGCACTTTACAAACTTTAGATTTACCAACTGATATCAGTTTAGGTATATGCACATAGACAGATGTACATACATGTTATCGAAATTGGAGACCAATCAGAGCAATTCATTTAGTGCAACACTTAAGTAAAATAGGCCTTCATTTCATGGTCCATGGTACCGGACATCTTCACTGCAGGTCTTTCCTCGTATTTGCAGCTTTTTTCGCCAGTAATTTCATTGAAAACATAAATATGGAGAAAATGTTTTTATTTGATATATTTATTCATTGCAACATTGATCGGATCTAAGAAAGACTTCAGCATTATTGAATTAAACTAATCCATCACTGAATATCATTGACGTCGGATAAGTTATCGCTCTTTTTTTAAATGGATCCTTTACAAAAACGATGTAGGAAAGGTTGGGAAGTGTATAAGTTGTAGATAACATAAAACTCGCCCTCAGTCGAATAACATATTTCCTTCTCCTCTTTTTTTTTGACGAAATTTCAAATATTAATCTAAAACAAGTATTTTTAGGTTATTCACGGTGTTCAGACACAGACTATTCATGTTCCGACGAAAGATGGTAACAATGCATTTAGTAATTCAAGGGAGAAACGAAGCATAGTGGAGAAGCCGTTGCGGATTTCATTATTCTATGACGAATCGGTTCTAAGGTAAGATATTCTAAAAGTAAACGAAAGTGTTGTTAACTAACAACGAAGAGAATATATTTGTTAAAAACCTCTTTTATATAATATATAATATATATTCACAACATCTTTGTATTTGATTATGCGTTACTTTAAAAATTCAAGTGAAAGTGTCAATTACAAGATTATACAAGACAATAGACAGTGTTTAGAAGTTATTGGCAGCATATGTGTAGATCAAAGCATCCACAAATGTGTTATTATTAATATTTTTTTTTATTCTTTACAGTTTGGATACCAGTAAATTTATTCTTATAAACGTAAGTATTTATAAGTCTCACAGTTAACCGCATAATCGGAGACACACAATTCCTTTTCTTCTAGGAAACTGTGCTACCGGAAGCTTTACAATTTTGGGCGAAAGCATTAATGGTGCAGCAGATAAAGGGACCTATTCGGCTTAACAGGTAACATTGAAACAACAAAGTAAGTTCTCATTTAAAATGAGTGCTTTTTAGAATTAAAAGGAATCTGTCGCTTTGGGGCAGCTTTAACATCATCCATTTAAACTTGGTTTGCGGTTTAAGATAATAGTAACATATCAATCTATTATAATTTTCCAATAAAATGCAGGCTAACGATTAGATTAAATTAACTGCGCAGCTCAAGCTCATCACATATCTATATATATATATATATATATTTAGATTACCGTTTTTGATATATACACTATTGTGCTTTCTTTGGAAAAAATTTTATGCGCTTTGCCTATCTTAAAATTTTGAAATTAATTAGTGACCCCAAGCAAATCTAAGTAGATGTGGAGATTAACTCTTGATGGGATATGCGCTTTACTTCTTGATTAAAGAGAAAAAAAGCTTGAAGACATTACTAGCATTAGTCTCAATAAACTTTAGAAATCCCCAAATATCCCTAGTGAAAACTATTGAGTTTGAGGCGAAATCTAACATACTTCCTTAGAAAATATTTCCTTCTTTCTGTGAATATAATAAACAGTGGGTTTAATAATTTTTCGAAGTATCTAAATTATTTTTTTTTCTTATTCTCGTAGAAAATGTAATAGTACTCAGGTATTTGTGAAAGGCGGTCTAACGCACTGTATAGACAATTGTAAAGCCGTGACCATGTGCGGCGAAGTTGAAGTTCCTTATGAACATCTAGATGTAAGTAAAAATACTTTTTTAAATTGGTTTCGTTTTATTCAACTTTCAAAGAATATTTTCAACATTCTGTACTAGTTAGTTAAATTCAATGTTTCATAGATCAATAGATTTTTAACCTTTTGCATTTATAATGAACTAAAGTATTATCACTATTGTTTTACTTTTATTCATTGTCAACAGATATGTCGTGTATGCAACGCATCTGGTCAAAATTGTCGAATTGATAATAGTACAGAGGCAGGCGAAGGAATTCAAAATTCTGATTTCATATTCTATGTATCGGCCCGGCAAACCGAACGTTGTCATAAGGGACTCACAGTAGCATACGCCGCTCATTGCCAGCAAGAAGCTACTTTGGATCGGCCAATAGCAGGTCATGCAAATTTATGTCCGGATAGTATAAGCACTAAACCGCAAGAGCTGCAGACACTTATATCGACAGTGAAGCACGAAATTTTACATGCATTAGGTTTTTCAGTTAGTTTATATGCGTTTTTTCGTGATGCTAAAGGAAAGCCTAGAACACCTCGTAAGCCCGATACTGGCAAACCTCACTTAAATGAAAAGTAAGTAAGTTAGTTAAAGCATTCGAGAATTTTTATTGCATCTTCAAATGTTTATTAAAAGGCTGCAAATTCATCAATGGAGCAATAATACTATTCGCAAAGTTATTAGAGAAAATTGGTCAGTGAGGGGAGGCCATGTACGCAGAGAAATCGATATGATGGTAACGCCTAAAGTCGTGGAGGAGGTTCGTAAACATTTTAACTGTGATAAGTTGGAGGGGGCCGAATTAGAAGATCAAGGAGGTGAGGGCACTGCCTTAACACATTGGGAGAAACGCATTTTAGAAGTAAATATAGGAAATTATTGCCCCTTTATCAGAAATATATAATTATTATTTATTCTCAGAATGAAGCCATGACGGGAACGCATACACAATCACCTATATTCTCACATATAACGTTGGCACTAATGGAAGATTCCGGTTGGTATAAACCAAATTATAGCATGGCTAATTCGTTATCATGGGGTAAAGGGCTGGGTTGCAATTTTGTCATGCGCAGCTGTAAAGACTGGATTCAACTGAACAATGCAAAGTAAGTCCAATCAATGAAAATATAAATTCAATTTCCGAAACATCTAACAGAGTAATAATAAGAGGTAACTTTTGCTATTTTAAAACTAAAAGATTAAACTTTTTACATCTGCTACAATGGTTGCAGTAGTTATGTTCATTATATTTACCAACAATTAACTACAAAACTCTTTAAAGCCAGCTTTGCATTTTTACCTTTACAGAGGACACAGTATACATCCATTTTGTTCGAAAGTCAAACAGGAACCTTTACAGACCGAATGTACAAATGACCGCACTTCCGTAGCATTGTGTAATTTAATTCGACATGAGACAGAGCTACCGTCGAAATATCAGGTAAGTTAAAATACCTTATGGCCGAAAGCTAAAGATAATATCGCAACATTTCAATTTAAGAATTTCGACAGCATCAACGACATTAAAGAAGGTGATGAAGGTTATTATGGCGGATCGGTATCCCTGGCTGATCATTGTCCTTATATTCAGGAGTTCACTTGGCGCAACAAAAATATAATTGTTAGAGGTTCACATTGTAATTTTGTCGAAAATAATCCAAGTAAGTTTTTAGAAAATCTCTTTGTATTCTTAAGAGGTTATATCAATTTGTGATGTGTTTTGCGCTGATTAAACCCACCATAAGTTGGGGGTATACTCATTTGGTTTTTTTCAAAAAGGAAGCTTCAGAGCCCCTATAAAATGTATATGTTCTTGATCAGCGTGAAATCCTAAGATGATGTCCGTCCGTGTGGTGTGTGTTGTTGGCGCTTTCCTGGTTGCAAAAATGAAGATATCGTCTTCAATTTTAGTAGAAACATTGTAAGTTTCTGCACGTAGGTGTGTATTGAAAATGGATGAAATTGGTCAGCGCAAAAGCGCGCTGTTATTGAAGTTAGAAGGCTGAAATTCGCCACATTTACTTAACGAAATACCTTACTCTCTAGGTCCAAAAATGGAAACTATCGGCGGTGTCCACACAATGTTACGAATGATTCAATTTTCTTTTTTTTCACTTTTTTGAGGGTTAATGCTTATTTATCATGAGGCAAACAAGAGGGAAGGTTTAAAGTTATTTTGTACACTTGTCAAATGAAGATGTATTATCTGCCTAAGAATGGGTTGATTTGAAAAGAAATATGGTACAAACAGCGATTAATTTTTTCTTAATAATGCCAGCGATATGGGTATCAAATAAAAGAACTTGGAGAGTAGAATGCGAAGAGCATAGGGTGGGTAGGCGATAACTTTCTTACTTGAAAAGATGTTCAATCGAAATTATAGTCGTTTTTCGAGTGAATTATTGAAAAGGAAAAAAAAAACTCAAATCGGGTTTTTACGATATTTTTAGAAAATATTTCATTTCTTGATTTAGATAGGAAATTGTCAAATCTAATAGCACGATAAAAGGGAATTTTTGAAAAATCATTGTAAGCACTTGCCTGTTAATTAATATCTTCATTTTTTAGAGCACAAAAAGCGATATTATCTCTTAAAAAAAATGCACTTGTTATAATAAGCGCCACATCCACATATATTGTTATACATCGTGATATCGGCTTGTTTTTCCCTTTCTAGGGGAACAAAATTTATAAATAAAAACTATTTGAACAAGAAATCATGTCCTCCATTAAAACTAAGCGACGCGAAAGCAAATATATATAAAAGTATATACGGAGACGCTGGACTTTTTCACTAAATGCAGAACGTTAATTCAATGCCTTCAAAATAGTGCTTGTCCTTCATACACATATATCCCTGCATAAAAATCAAACCTTGTACAATCTTCTTTACCACGCCTACTATTTACTTATATTACCCAAATATTTATTAGTCTACATTTACATGTACCCATCACAGAAAGATGATTTTGTCAAAACGTGTGTAAAACCTAGAATGAGGCGATCTCACAAAGTACATATATTCTTGATTAGTATAAAATTTTAAATCGATTTAATAACGACCGTCTGTGTATTTATCCGTTTGTATAACGTGTCTTGTAAACATTCTCCAGGTCGTAAAATGAAACTGGTAGAAACATTGGAAGTTCTTGCATGCAATCTTGGTCTTGAAAATGGGCCCAGTCGGTCGTAGAACACGTCTACAGCACCACGTAAACTGACATTATTCCGACTGTTTTTCAAAAGGAATGAAAAATTGTTTTTTTGCTCGTTACCCATAAACTATAGCAAGTAAAAGTACAAATATTGGAACGCATACTCTATGGGAGATGCTATAGCATTTGTGCACAAAAATAGGAAATATTGACCACGCCTACCCAATATTATAGTGCACCATAATTTCATTGTTTTTCAATACCTTTATAAGGAGCAAAAACAAGCTTCGAAAACCCCATAAAGTATACAAATTCGTGGCCAATTTCAAATTTAGAATGCACATAAACATGTCCGGCTGTCTGCCTGCGCAACTGTGTAGTATTTGTGGTAAACATTCTCCTATTAGCGAAATTGAATAGATCGTCTACGAACTTAAAATTGGCTTAAACTTTTCCAAGGGCACGCCTACAACGCCCACACACGTATGCGATGAAAACTTTTATTTGGAAAATAGAAAATATCAGCCGCTCCCACACCGCATTATAGAGCATGAAAATGTAGTTCTTTTACTTTTTTCGTCGTTTTCAGGATAACGGCGATGGGTACAAGAAATTCGCTCATGACAGAATTATTATTGTTATTATTTGTACACGTATACAACCATATATTATTTTGTTGAAAATTAACACTGAGTTCATTCACACATATATCGAATCGAAGTAACCTTTTGCTTCCAATTTTCCATATATGAAAATATTCGAATGTTGTTTTTATTATTCAAGAGCTTTTCATTATGACTTATTAATAATTTTGATGAACTCCGTACACTCATAAGTGATTTTAATCCAACCTTTTTATCGCTTCAAGAAACCCATTGCAGAAGCTCTTTTAATCCTATTCCACCCAAAATCATATAGTGGATACTTCACGAATGCTGATCAAAACTCATATTCCAAACAAGGAGTAGGTATTTTTATAAAATCAAGTATACCTCACAAACGCATAAATTTAAGCTCAAATATACAAGCCGTAGCGATACAAATAATGTTAAATATAAAATTTGCAGTGCTTTCGCTCTATATTCCACTTTCGCAATCGCTTTCTCAGCAAGAATGCTACAGTTTATTCTCCGTACTTTTCCCCCCATTAATTATATGCGGCGATTTCAACAGTTGGAATACCATCTGGGGCTCAACAGTAAACAACACTCGCGGTACTGTTTTAGAAAAGGCCTTTTTTCAAAGCAACCTTTGCGTTTTAAATGATGGAAAACCAACGCACTTCTGAACTCATCATACTTTTTCACATATTGATTTAACATGTTGCTCTCCATCACTTCTTCCTTTGGTGTCCTTGTCTATTTCTGATGATCTACATAATAGTGATCACTTTCCAATCATAATCGATCTTAAACTTTCAACGTCCTCTGCTACTCCAGCAAAACAGGCCAAATTCCTCCAAGATAAAGCGGATTGGATCAATTACTCCAAACAGGTGGAGTCATTTTTGAACTCAAAGCCATTTAACGGAAACTGCAACCATGATGCTGCTACTATGTCTAAAGCGATTCGCACGGCTGCTCATCTTTCTATTCCACAATCCAACACCTCTTTTAAACGAGCTACGGTTCCATGGTGGAACAACACGCTTTCGTTTTTGAGGAAAAATAAAATGGATCTATGGCACCGCTTTAAGAGATGTCCTGATCAGAATCACTTGTTATTATACAAAAAGGCCAATGCTCTATTCAGGAAGGAATTACGCAAATCAAAGGCACTTAGTTTCGAACTTTTCTCGAGACGAATTCACAGAAATACATCAATGAAAGTTGTCTGGAACAAAATCAACAGACTTAATGGGACTTCAAACCTGGACCAAATTTCTGCCATCTGCACTCCCAATGGAACTTTAACTGACGCAGATGAGATTTCTAATTACTTTGGAAAAGTGTGGTGCGAATACTCCTCTGACAGCAACTTCTCCAGTGCTTTCATTGAAAATAAAAGGACTCCAATATCTCCTTCAAATAATATCGATAGATGTGCCATTTTCCTGGAAAATTGCGTATCCACCTCAGAACTTGGAAGTTGTCTCCCCAATTTGAAGGGGAAGACACCTGGTCTAGACCGCATCTCATACCAAATGATCAGTGCTACGACTAAGTCTAGTAAAAAGAAATTACTGGACCTACATAATACGGTATTTATGACTGGCCATATACCCTACATGGCCATATACCCTACATCTCTTTCAACGAAATTAGCGAAATTCTTTGCCGTGTACCAAGAGTGGAACATTGTCTCTACGCGGACGATGTATACATTTTTACAAAAGAAAAAGACAACACGAAAGCAATCAACATCCTCGAATCTATTTCATGTGAGATCTCCACATGGGCAAACTCGTCTCTATACAAAAATCAAAAAAAATGCACATTTGTCGAAAACAAATGTGCGATGCAGGAAACCTACTGATGCATATTAACGACTTACCAGTACTAAATGTGCAGACGCTCCATGTTCTCGGGCTCACGTTTTCAAACAATTATTGTTGGAAAGCACACTGCCTTCGGTTAAAAAAACTCCCTTTTAACAAGGGTAAATTTCATACAGTACGTTGCTTGGAGAAGCCAAGCGCATATTAACACTATCGCTTATCTTATCAAAATGCTTGTGTTAAGCAAGATTGACTATGCTTTGATAATTTATGGCAATAGCTGCAAATCTAATATCAACATCCTTAAACCGGTCTATCACCAAGCCGTTAGAGCAAGATGTTATACTTTTCGGACGACGCCCATAAATAATATTATAATTGAAACTGGTCTCCCAACTTTAGAAAATAGACTGTATGAGTTAAAAGCTAAAATAGTCCCTAAGCTTCTTAATTCAAACAAATCCATTCTCGGTGATGACGTAAGAAAGATTATTATTGCGAAGAAAATTCCAAAGTCACCATCTGCAATTGACTGTTGTTTGTGCATCGCAAATGAATTGAACATTCCCTTAAAAATTTCCCGCTCTTTTGGTGTTA